CATGCCCAGCTAATTTTTTGTATTTTTAGTAGAGACGGGGTTTCACCATGTTGACCAGGATGGTCTCGATCTCTTGACCTTGTGATCCACCCGCCTCGGCCTCCCAAAGTGCTGGGATTACAGGCTTGAGCCACCGCGCCCGGCCTTATCTACCTGTTCTTTAGCAAGCCCTCAGTATACACTGGGAACCATCTGGGACACGAATCAACCTACAGTTCCCACCCCCAACACACACACAGCCTCAAGCTGCTCACAGTCTTTCTCAGCAGTGGAGTGTGGTGGAGACAGGTTGCCTGGATTCGAATCCTGACTTTGCCACTTATTAGCTGTGTGACTTTGCGGGTTTGTTGTTGGTTGTTTGTTTTTGAGACAGAGTCTCACTCTGTTGCTCAGGCTCTAGTGTAGTGGCGCAATCTTGACTCACTGCAGCCTCCACCTCCTGGGTTCAAGCAGTTCTTCCCGTTCAAGCAGTTCAGCCTCCCAAGTAGCTAGGATTACAGATGCCCGCTATCATGCCCGGCTAATTTTTTTTTTTTTTTTTTGTAGCTTTAATAGAGCAGGATTTCTCCATGTTGGCCAGGCTGGTCACGAACTCCTGACCTCATGTGATCTGCCCGCCTTGTCCTCCCAAAGTGCCAGGATTACAGGTGTGAGCCACCACACTCAGCCTAGCTGTGTGATTTTGAATAAGCTTCTTGAGCTCCATTTTCTCATCTGTAAAATGAGGATAATGATGGTCTCTATGATTGAATAAGTTAATGCATGTAGAGGGTTTAGAGCAGCATCTGGTATACACAGACCCCTCAGTAGAGACAGTATCAGTACTAGTAGCAGTTGTCATTATTGCCAGGAGGTGACAATGATGAAGAACTAGAAAGGACCATAGCACAGGACCAAAAATTATAAAATGCTCATGGTGGCCCCAAGGAGCCTGCAAGGGAACCCAGGGCCTGGTGGTACGGGTGGAGGTCAGGGAGTGCTTCCCAGAGGAGGTGGCAGTTGAGTCCCACACCCATGGGGTAGCCAGGATGCTGGGAAGGCACTTTTCAAAGGGAGACTGTGGTTTGAGGCGGGGTTGGAGGGCATAGAGTCATGCTGTGCGTCTCCCCCAGCTCTGCTGTCTGCATGCCGACATGCTGGGCTCACTGGGCCCCAAGGAGGCCAAGAAGGCCTTCCTGGACTTCTACCACAGCTTCCTGGAGAAGACAGCGGTGAGAGACCTTTCAGCAGCCCCAACCCCGAAATCCCTGTTTGGGCCTGCAGTCACCATGTGGGCCCCCAACCTCTGCCCTGAGGGCAGCTGCTGACCCCAGCCTTCCCCAGCACCCTGCCTCAGACTGGGGTTCCTGGCAGTCCTCCTGGGGTGCCTCTCAGCACACCAAGTCCTCCTCTTAACTCCAGTCTCTCCCTGGAGCAGGTTCTGCGGGTGCCAGTCCCTCCCAACGTCGCCTTTGAACTTGGTAAGGAGAAGGATGGGATGAGGGAGAGGTGTCCAGCAGGGACCACACCTCCCAGGAGGCCAAGGGGAGAGAGGCCACACTCCCATGCTCTGCTTGGACAGCCGAGATTCGTTCATTCCTTCTTGGCAGCAGTCTCAGGAAGCATGGCTGTGGGAGTACAAAGGTGGGTGGGGACCGTGGTCCAAGCCAACAGGGAGCTGGACCGTCTTCCCCCTGTGCGTCCCTGCAGACCGCACTCGGCCCGACCTCATCTCTGAGGATGTCCAGCGGCGGTTTGTGCAGGAGGTGGTACAAAGCCAGCAGGCAGCTGTGAGCCGGCAGCTGGAGGACTTCCGCTCTAAGCGGCTCATGGGCATGACGCCCTGGGAGCAAGAGCTGACCCAGCTGGAGGCCTGGGTTGGGCGGGACCGAGCCAGCTACGAGGCCCGTGAGCGGCACGTGGCGGAGCGGCTGCTCATGCACCTGGAGGAGATGCAGTGAGTGGCCAGCCCTGGTGGGAGCATCGCCCCTCCCCAGCTCCAGGGCACCCTGCTGCCTGGCACGTTCCATCCCATTTCAGGGTTCCCTCTTCTGCTTCAGGGTTCATTTCTTGGCATTGGGGCTCTTCCTCTGCTCTGTCATTTTAACTCATCTTGGATCCAAGTCTTCTTCCCTTTCCAGCTTTGCGGTTCCCTTGCCTTTTCTGGGTCTTGTCCATGATCTGGCACTTGGATCCCGTCCTCCTGGATGAGAGACCTTCTTTCCTCTTGTGACAGTTCTTCCTGATCCCTTCTGCCGTGTCCCCTGTCTGTTTCTCCTCTGCCTGCCTATCCCAGGACAGCAACCCTGAGATGTATCCTGGGTGGATGGGGACCCCAGGCCTAGCAAATGTGTCATAAACATCTCTTTTCCTCCTGCAGACCTACCATCTCTACCGATGAAGAAAAGAGGTGAGGGAGGCAGAGAGGGTGGCAGGGAGAGGCATGCAGCCTCCTGGATTTGAGGGAGGAGGGGGCTGGTGGCCTGGACTCCTGGGTCTGAGGGAGGAGGGGCTGGGGCCCGGAATCCTGGGTCTGAGGGAGGAAGGGCTGGGGGCCCAGACGCCTGGGTCTGAGGGAGGAGGGGTTGGGGGCCTGGACGCCTGGGTCCTGGGCATTGGGTAACAGCCCTGGCCCCTGTCCTTTTGAACCCTCTCGTCTCTCCTCAGAGTCTCACAGGAAGTAGTTGTGAGGTCAGGATGGGAAGGGCGGGCCTCTGCCTCTAGGGGCCTTGGGGTGTGTGGGGGTGGGGGTGTGTGTGTGTGTGTTGAGCCCTCCCTGTCTCCTCTTACAGTGCTGCCGTGGTCAATGCCATTGGCCTGTACATGCGTCACCTTGGGGTGCGGACCAAGAGTGGGGACAAGAAGTCAGGGAGAAACTTCTTCCGGAAAAAGGTGCTTCCCTCAGTGTCCTGTCCTGACCTTTGCACTGCAGAGAGGCCCTGGGAGCCTCATGACTCTGGACACCTTGAGTCAAATCCTGCTTAACTGTCGTCTCAGAGATGCTCAGCCTTCCTCCCTGTCCTCTCAGGTGATGGGGAACCGGCGGTCGGACGAGCCTGCCAAGACCAAGAAGGGGCTGAGCAGCATCCTGGATGCCGCCCGATGGAACCGGGGAGAGCCCCAGGGTAAGGCAGCCCGGGCCTCTGCCCTCCCCGGCTTCCCCAGCTGCTCTCACTCACTGTCTCACTGTCTCTCATTTCAGTTCCAGATTTTCGACACCTTAAAGTGGAAGTTGATGGTAATGGACCTGTAGCCAGAGCATCCATCCTGGGGGCCTGCGGGGGAGGGGCTGGGGACCTGGACTCCTGGGCCTGAGGGAGAAAAGGCTGGGCCTGGACCCCTGGGTCTGAGGGAGGAAGGGTGGGGAGGCTCAGACTCCTGGGTCTGAGGGAGGAAAGGCTGGGTCTGGACCCCTGGGTCTGAGGGAGGAGGGGTGGGGGGGCTCAGACTCCTGGGTCTGAGGGAGGAAAGCCTGGGCCTGGATCCCTGGGTCTGAGGGAGGAGGGGCTGGGCAGACCCCTGGGTCTGAGGGAGGAAGGCCTGGGACCTGGACCCCTGGGTCTGAGGGAGGAGAGGCTGGGGGCCTGGATTCCTAGGTGCCTTCTGGGTCCAAAGGAGGAGGGGTTGGGGGCCTCCTGGGTCCGAAGAAGGAGGGGATGGGGGCTCCTAGTCAAGGGTGGAAGGGCGGGAGCACAGCCTCTTGCCTCCCCGGTGGGTGGATTTGAGTTCTCTCATCTCCCTCTTTCTCCTTCACTGTCTCCCCAGCCGAGAAGCCAGGTGCTGCAGACCGGAAGGGAGGCCTGGGGGTGTCCTCTCGAGACCGGAATGTTGGGGCTCCTGGGCAGGACACCCCTGGAGTCTCTCTGCACCCTCCGTCCCTGGACAGCCCAGACCGGGAACCAGGTGAGAGTTTTCTGGGCCGGGGCTCCGTGAGGCCCGGGGATCCTGGTGGGAGTGCTCCCGCCCCCTTGGCACCCCCAGATAGAAGCCATTCCCCAGCGACACCTCCCCGTTGCTCAGCGTCTGCCCCTCTCTGCTCCTGGTTACCACTGGCATTCATAACTTTCCCTTCCCTCAGTTCACCCTTTCTGCAGCTTTCCTCCCAGGCTCTGCCCGCTCCTGGTGCTGTGTCTCCCACCCCCGCTTCGACTACGTTTTCCATCAGCCCTTCATTTTCCAGAACCTTCCCTGAGTACATGAGCAGTCCACCCTTGGAGCTGCATTTCTGGCCCCCTAGGTGGGGAGCCCGGCAACCCCATTAACTTCCTCCCTCACTGTCCTTAGATCTCTGTGGCCTTAGGCCTTAGACCTTAGGGTCTCTGCGTGGCCAGGCCCAGGCTCACACCCCGGCTCTACTGTTTCCTTGTATTTATTTATGTCTGGGAAATGACTCCCATTTCTTAGTCTCCACTTGCTGGTCTCTAAAGGGGTATGAGAGGGTGAGGAGGATGAATGGAGGTGGAGGCAGCACGGAATCCAGTGCCCTCCCGACCTCAGGGGGCTGCAGTCTGGTTGGGTGGGAGTGCACAGGCGCACCCACCTCTATGGCATCCTCACACCCTGCCCCCCGTGGCCCACAGCTGTGTTCTCAGAGGTCTTAATGTCTGTCTGTTCCATGCTGAAGTACAGAGCAGCCACTTGGTGTCTGCCTGGCACTGGGTAGCTTAACCGCCGCGTTTCTAGGCCGCAGAGTGTGGGTCTTCTGGTCTCCAAGGCCTTGGAGCAAGCCCTGCTCCCTCTACCCCACAGGTGCTGAGGCTCCCCTGGAGCTAGGGGACTCGTCCCCGCAGGGCCCAATGAGCCTGGAGCCCCCGGTGCCCCTGGAGAGTACTGATGAGGGGGCTGAAACAGAGAGGTGCCCAGGCTGGGATGCAGGGGTGGCGGGAGGGGGTTACTGAGCGCTGGGGGGTGGGTGTGGGTCGCCGCTGCCATCTGCGCCTGCTGTGCCAGCCTCTTGCTCTCCCTGCTCCTCCCCTGCTCTCTGGTTCTTGCCATTCCTCTCCCTTCTTTCCTTTCCTCATCTCCCTCCTGCTTCCTTATTGCCCCCTTTCCTTCTTCCTTCCTTCTTCCCCTCCTGCTTCCTTTCCTTTCTTTTTTCACTAATCTTTCTCCTCCTCCCTTCCTCTCCTCCTCTCCTTCCATCGCCTTTATTCCCCCCTCCTCTCTCACCTGGGTTTTCTTTTCCCACTTTCCATCCCCCTCCAGTCTCTCTGCCACTTTTCATTTTTTTAGCCCTTCTTCCCCTTTTCTTTCTTTTATTTATTTATTTATTTTGAGACGGAGTCTTGCTCTGTTGCCCAGGCTGGAGTGCAGTGGGGCAATCTTGGCTCACTGCAACCTCTGCTTCCCAGGTTCAAGCAATTCTCTTGTCCCAGCCTCCCAAGTAGCTGGGATTACAGGCATGTGCCACCATGCCCGGCTAATTTTTTTATTTTTAGTAGAGGTGGGGTTTCACCATGTTGGCTAGGCTGGTCTTGAGCTTCTGACCTCAGATGAACCACCCACCTCAGCCTCCCAAAGTGCTGGGATTACAGGCAGAGCCACTGGGCCTGGCCGTTCCCTTCTCTTTCAAGCCCCCACCCTGCCCGCCTTGCTCCAGCCTCCTGGTGCCCGTCCCTCAACCCCCCTACCCCTCTGTGCTCTGTGCCCTGGGGGCCCTGTCCCCCTTACAGCTGGGGGGCAGGCTCTGCCCCCTGCCCGTCCTTGTGCCGCTGCTTTGGGGACCCTGTGGTAGGTGTGGGGAGGTGGGTCGGGTTCCATCTGGGTCCATCTCTGACCCTATGCCCCTCTCTCCTCAGAAAGTGGAAGAGGTGGGTGCCTGGGCCCTGGGTGGGGGAAGGGCTAGCCCCTCCCCCATTTCTCCCAGCCCCTCCCTTCTCCCCATGGCCAATCCTTCCCCTTCACCCCCTGTGAGGGGCGGGTGGGGACATCACCCTCCCAGTTGAAGAGTTAAGTATGGAAATCCTCCCCACCCCATAAACACCCCTCTTTCCATCCCCCTGTCTTAGGGAAGGGAGGGGTCAGTCCTAACCCTACCCTGGGTTCCCCATCCTTCCCCATCAAATTTCAATATCCCTCCCCCAGCCACCCCCCACCACCCCAGCGCCCCTAAAATCCCACCACTCCTCTGATTCTCTTTCCTTTCTCTTCTGTTGCATGTTTGATCCCTGTCCTGGTCTTCCCTGTCCCGGTCCTGGTCTCTCCCCAACCCTGTCCCTGTCTCTCCTGTCTCTGCCCCTGTCCTGGTCTCTCCTGTCTCCCTGTCCTGCTCTCTCCCGTCTCTGTCCCTGTCCTGGTCTCTCCTCGTCTCTGTCCCTGTCTCTCCCGTCTCTGTCCCTGTCCCTGTCTCTCGCGTCTCTGTCCCTGTCTCTCCCGTCTCTGCCCCTGTCCTGGTCTCTCCTGTCTCTGTCCCTGTCCTGGTCTCTCCCCGTCTCTGCCCCTGTCCTGGTCTCTCCTGTCTCTGTCCCTGTCCTGGTCTCTCCCCGTCTCTGTCCCTGTACTGGTTCCGCCTCGTCTCTGTCCTTGTCTTGGTCTCTCCTTGTCTCTACTCCCCTGGTCTCTGCCTGACTCTATCTTTGGCCTCGGGGTCCAGGCTATCAGGGCGTCTGGGGCGCTCAGAGAGCCTGCGGGTGAGTGACCGCCGCCGGCCTTCCCGGGGCAGCCTCGGGGCTAAGGGCCGGGGTGGGGGCCGCTCCCGGAGCGACGTGGACATGGACCCCAGTTCCGCAACGGCAGTGCTTGGCCCTGCCCAACGAGCCACGTATGTCAACCCTCTCCCTTCCCCTATCCACTAAGGCAGCCTGGAGAATCAGGGAGGGACTGTTGTCCGAGTCACAGAGGAATGGGCGTTGGAGGCCGAGGTCATTGAGGCCAACTATGGTCACAGACCTTGGAGGAGGAGGGGGTAGAATGTTTCTAGAGATCTGGGGACTCTAGTCTGGTCAGATCTAGAGGTCTGGTATGTCACACGGGCTACCCTGGGGGCATCAAATGCCAAGGCCACTGACCGGGGTTGAATGTTCTTAAGAAGTTGAAGGCTGCTTCCTGGGATGGCCCAAGCTGGGACCCTAGCAAGACCTCTGTCCACAGCCCTGAGCCTGGAGATGACGGGGAGCCGGGACGGTCAGGACTAGAGCTTGAACCAGAAGAGCCTCCCGGCTGGCGGGAACTCATCCCCCCAGACACCCTGCACAGGCTACCCAAGAGCCAGGTGAAGCGGCAGGAGGTCATCAGCGGTGAGTGCTGTCCCATCCGCCTCACTGTGGCCAAGGACATAGTCCAGCTCTGGCAAAGGCAGAGACAGGCGCAGAGAGAATTGCATCTTGGTGTTGTTTAATATAGGGAGAGCTTGAAGACAGCTTCAGATTCCCTCTTGTTCCAAGTTCAGATTGTTCCAGCAGAGAGCATTTCAGTGAAATGTGAGTGCCGCTGTGGAATGGACATTTCCAAAGAATTTCTAGTAGTGCAAGACGGTGCTGATGTTAAGAATGTTGCATTGCCGGGCACGGTGGCTCACGCCTGTAATCCCAGCACTTTGGGAGGCCGAGGCCAGTGGATCATGAGATCGAGACCATCCTGGTCAACATGGTGAAACTTCTGGTGCAAGCCTTTGTTTCTTTACTTGTGAAATGTGGGCACTAATAGTTCCTACCTGAAATATTGTCATGAAGATGCGATGATTTGTGTGACGTGTTTAGCACAGTGTTGGGCCCAGAGGAGGAGCATTTTATTTTATTTTATATTTTTATTCAAGGTAGGGTCTCAGTCTGTCTCCCAAGCTGGAGTGCAGTGGCGTGCTCATGGCTCGCTGTAGCCTCACCCTCCCAGGCTCAAGTGATCCCCCCACCTCAGCCTCCCGAGTAGCTGAGAACACAGGCAGGCACCACCATGCCCGGCTAATTTTTGTATTCTTTGCAGAGATGAGGTTTCACCATGTTGGCCAGGCTGATCTCAAACTCTTGGGCTCAAGTGAATCTCCTACCTCAGCCTCCCAAAGTCCTGGGATTACAGGTGTGAGCTACCAGGCCCAGTCAAAGAAGAGCATTTTAATGAGATTGTTGTTACTAGTGTGATCTTAATGGCTTAGGGAAGAAAAGATCCCCATAGGGGAAAGTTTGGGGAAATGATCAGTGTATTAGCAGTGCTTGCTTCTGGGTGGAGAGATGAGTGTATCATTTTTGTCTTTTGTTTTTTTTTTTTTTTTTTTTTTTTTTTTTTGAGACAGAGTCTCACCCTGTTGCCCAGGCTGGAATGCAATGGCGCGATCTCGGCTCCACCACTGCAACCTCCACCTCCCAGGTTCGAGTGATTCTTCTGCCTCAGCCTCCTGAGTAGCTAGGACTACAGGCGTACACTACCACTCCTGACTAATTTTTTGTATCTTTAGTAGAGATGAGGTTTCCCCCTGTTGGCTAGGCTGCTCTCAAACTCCTGACCTCGTGATCCACCCGCCTTGGCCTCCCAAAGTGCTGGGATTACAGGTGTGAGCTACCATGCCTGGCCATTTTTGTCTTTTTCTTTTTTTCCTGTGCTTTCTTTTTTTTTTTTTTTTTTTAGAGGGGGTTTTACTCATGTTTCCCCCGGTGGGGTGCAATGGCGCGATCTCGGCTCACCGCAACCTCCGCCTCCTGGGTTTAGGCAATTCTCCTGCCTCAGCCTCCTGAGTAGCTGGGATTACAGGCACGCGCCACCATGCCCAGCTAATTTTTTGTAGTTTTAGTAGAGACGGGGTTTCACCATGTTGACCAGGATGGTCTCGATCTCTTGACCTCGTGATCCACCCGCCCTGGCCTCCCAAAGTACTGGGATTACAGGCTTGAGCCACCGCGCCCGGCTCCTGTGCTTTCTCATTCTATGTTGGCTAGGGAGGTTGGTGGCAAAAAGAGAAAGCTTTTGGAATTGATCGAAAGCTTATTTACAGATTACTTCGTAGTGAAAAAGGTACTTATTCAAAAATTTTAGGGGAGTAGATGAGTACTTTTTGGGTCACAGATCCTTCTAAGGACATGATATTTAAAAAAACAAACGTGAACCATATCCTATCCAGTAGGACTTTCTGGAATGGAAATGTGCTTTATTTGTACTGCTCACCATGGGGACTACCAGCCACCTAGGGCTGGTGAGCACTTCAAATGCACTAGGCCAGGGGCAGTGGCTCATGCCTATAATCCCAGCACTTTGGGAACCCGAGGTGGGCAGATCACTTGAGGTCAGGAGTTCAAGACCAGCCTGGACAATACAGTGAAACCCCGTCTCTACTAAACATATAAAAATTAGCCAAGCGTGGTGGCACATGGTTGTAATTCCCGATACTTGGGAGACTGTGACAGGAGAATTGCTTGAACCCAGGAAGCAGGACACAGAGGTTGCAATGAGCCCAGAACATGCCACTGCACTCTAGTCTGGGCTACAGAGCAAGACTCTGTCTCAAAAAAAAAAAAAAAAAAAAAGGCAAGGCTTGGTGGCTCATGCCTGTAATCCCAGCACTTTGGGAGGCCGAGGAGGGTGGATCAGTTGAGGTCAGGAGTTCAAGTCCAGCCTGCCAATGTGGTAAAGCCCCATCTCTATAAAAAAATAATAAAAATTAGCAGGGCATGGTGGTGCATGCCTATAGTCTCAGCTACTTGGGAGGCTGAGGCAGGAGAATCGCTTGAACTCAGGAGGCAGAGGTTGGAGTGAGCCAAGATCACGCCACTGCATTGCAGCGTGGGTGACAGAGCAAGACTCCATCTCAACAACAAAATAGCAACAACAACAAAAACACTAAACACAACTGAAGACTGAATTTTTAAAATTTCATTTCATTTTAATTAATGAAAATGTGAAGAGTTGTTTGTGGCTGGTGGCTATCACGTTGGACAGGCTATCAATTTCTCTCTCTGCATAACACACAAAATCCTGCACTTAGAGGACTTCTGGGGCCCCTGAAACTCACACATATGCCCTCCAGGGTTTGGGGGGATCCCTGGATCTCAATCTGTCAATCACTGTGTAATGTGGCCTGATGGTTAGACGCTAAGCACAGCTGTAAGCTTGCTGGCGAGTGGGATGATCAACTTGTCCCCGTTTGCTTGGGACATTCCCAGTTTTATCACTGAAAGCCCAGGCTGGCAAACAGAGGCCCTTGGTCACTCTGGCTGGTTGCCACAGTGAAAAGGGAAAGGCAGAGGGTTGAGGAATCCTCAGTGGCTCTTTTTTTTTTTTTTTTTTTTGAGACGGAGTCTCGCTGTTGCCAGGCTGGAGTGCAGTGGCACCATCTCAGCTCACTGCAACCTCTGCCTCCCGATTTCAAGCACTTCTCCTGCCTCAGCCTCCCAAGTAGCTGGGACTATAGGCGCCTGCCACCACACCCAGCTAATATTTGTATTTTTAGTAGAGACAGGGTTTCACCATGTTGGCCAGGATGGTCTTGATCTCTTGACCTTGTGATCCACCCACCTTGGCATCCCAAAGTGCTCGGATTTACAGACATGAGCCACCGCGCCGGCCCCTCAGTGGCTATTTAAGAAGGCAAACGTTTAAGAAGTTTTTTTTATTTGTTTGTTTGCTTTGTTTTGGAGACATAGTCTTGCTCTGTCACCCAGGCTGGAGTGGAGTGGCACGATCTTGGCTTACTGCAACCTCCGCCTCCCGGGTTCAAGAGATTCTCCTGCCTCAGCCCCCCAAGTAGTTGGGAATATAGGTGCACGCCACCACGCCCAGCTAATTTTTGTATTTTTTAGTAGAGATGAGGTTTCACCATACTGACCAGGCTGGTCTTGAACTCCTGACCTTCTGATCCACCCGCCTCAGCCTCCCAAAGTGCTGGGATTATAGGCGTGAGCCACCGGGCCAGGACCTTTTATTTATTTTGAGACAAGATCTCACTCTGTCGCCTAGGCTGGGGTGCAGTAATGCAATTATAGCTCACTGCAGCCTCGACCTCCTGGGCTCAAGGGATCTTCCCACTTCAGCCTCCCGAGTAGCTGGGACTACAGGCACACACCACCATGTCCAGGCTAATTTTTTTTTTTTTTTCTTTTGAGACGGAGTTTTGCTCTTGTTGCCCAGGCTGGAGTGCAATGGTGCAATCTTGGCTCACCACAACCTCCGCCTCCCAGGTTCAAGCAATTCTCCTGCCTCAGCCTCCTGAGTAGTTGGGATTACAAGCGTGAGCCACCGTGCCTGACCAATTTTTTTTTAATTTTTGGTAGAGACAGGGTTTCACAATGTTGCCCAGGCTGATCTTGGACTCCTGGGTTCAGGTGATTCTCCTGTCTCGACCTCCCAAAGTGCTGGGATTACAAGTGTGAACCACCATGGCTAGCTGAAGAGAGTTTTTTCCCACCAACTTCTAGGAGGCTTTCCTCCCCCCTCCACCTAACTCCTCCAGCCTGTCCCTGAGGTCATGCCCCCAGTCTGCACTCTTCCCAACGCGTTCCCTGCTTTGGTGGCCCCGCAGAGCTGCTGGTGACAGAGGCGGCCCATGTGCGCATGCTGCGGGTGCTGCACGATCTCTTCTACCAGCCCATGGCGGAGGGCGGCTTCTTCCCCCTGGAGGAGCTACAGAACATCTTCCCCAGCCTGGACGAGCTCATCGAGGTGCACTGTGAGTGCAGGGCCGGGGTCCCTCTGTGCACCCCACTGCCCCACGGGCAGCTCCGTTCTAGCCCTGGGTTCAACCTGCCTGGGAACCCCAGAGCTCACATGGGGTAGGGGCAGATGCATCACCCAGCCCCGAGGATCAGATACAGACACACCTGCAGCCCTACCTGCACCATGCCACAGCAGGTCCCACAAAGCACCTTCCAGGCCCTGACGGAGCGCCCCTTTCCTCCTGCCCCACAGCCCTGTTCCTCGATCGCCTGATGAAGCGGAGGCAGGAGAGTGGCTACCTCATCGAGGAGATCGGAGATGTACTGCTGGCCCGGGTGAGATGCCCAGGCCCCCCTCCTCCCAGCCAGACACCTGGAATCCAGGCCTGGGTCGGGTCCTGACCCTGCCCTACTCCAGTCCCAGGGTCTGGGCTTCACGCCTCTCGTGCTTCAGGCCCTGTTCTTGCCCATCCCCACTGAGACGCCTGCCTGGCCTGAATCTCACTGTAGTTTGATGGTGCCGAGGGCTCCTGGTTCCAGAAAATCTCCTCCCGCTTCTGCAGCCGCCAGTCATTTGCCTTAGAGCAGCTCAAAGCCAAGCAACGCAAGGAGCCTCGGTTCTGTGCCTTCGTGCAGGTGAGGTGGGGTCTGGCCTCCAAGTTTCTGGGGAGGAGGATCCTGGAGACTCAGACTCCTTGGTGCCTGCACCCTGGGGTGCACCGGAAGCCTGGGCCATCGCAGCACCAGCAGCCGTTTCCTGCAGGAAGCTGAGAGCCGCCCGAGGTGCCGCCGCCTGCAGCTGAAGGACATGATCCCCACGGAGATGCAGCGGCTGACCAAGTACCCCCTGCTCCTGCAGAGCATCGGGCAGAACACAGGTACCGCAGGCCCGGCTCTCTGGGCCTTGGCTCTCTTTTTTTTTTTATATTTTCTTTTCTCATCTTCATCAGTGAGAACATCACAGCTCCTTGCAGCCTCAATCACCCAGGCTCTAGCTGTCCTCCCTCCTCAGCTTCCTGAGTAGCTGGGACCCCAGGGGCACACCACCATGCCCAGCTAATTTTTAAATTTTTTTTTATAGAGATGGAGTCTCGCCATGTTATCCAGGCTGGTCTTGAACTCCTGGTCTCAAGTGATCCTCCTGCCTTAGCCTCCCAAAGTGCTGGGATTACAGGCGTGAGCCACTATGCCCCACCAGCTCTCCTTTCTCTAACCTTGGCTGCAGAACCTGGAGCCTCTACGGCAGGGGTTCACCAGACCTGCTCTCTTTCTTGCCTGCAGAAGAGTCCACAGAACGGGAGAAAGTGGAGCTGGCCGCCGAGTGCTGCCGGGAAATTCTACACCACGTCAACCAAGCTGTGCGTGACATGGAGGACCTGCTGGTGAGCCTGGGCTGGCCCCACACCCGGGACAGTGGGCAGTGTGGGAGTGGGAGCATGAGCCGGCCCCTACCTCAGCGTGTCCAGAAGCCATACCCCACCCCTTGGCCTGTCTCCCACGAGGGTCACCATGTGTCTGGGGCTTGGCTTGGCCCTCAGTACCTCTCTCAGGGTCACCGGAGGTTGGGCGCCGCCCTCAGCTTGCCCCCATCGGAAGTTGCTCTTGGCTCTCGCCTTACCAGTGTGGGTCACTACAGGTCAGCCCTAGCACATAGCTTGTCCCCATAACACTCCTGTCTCTGCCCCAGAGGCTCAAGGACTATCAGCGGCGCCTGGACTTATCCCACCTTCGGCAGAGCAGTGACCCCATGCTGAGCGAGTTCAAGGTGTGACCTGACCCTCCTGCCTCCCCCACCCCCGAACTCTCCTTGGCCCAGGGGATTCTGTGATGCAGCCCCCAGCCTGTCCTGCCCATCCCATAATACACCCAGGGAACGAGAGCTCTGGTCCCCACCTCATGCCAATCCCATGATCCCCAGCCTGTGGTCATCCTCGGCCACTGCCCTGCCCTTCCCCTCTCCACCAACCCCAATTACCTCCTGCCAACCTGCACAAACCATCACTCCCTCCTGCCCCAGAACCTGGACATCACCAAGAAGAAATTGGTCCACGAGGGCCCACTGACGTGGCGAGTGACAAAGGACAAGGCTGTGGGTGAGTGCCAGGGCAGCTGCCTGGTGCGGGGTGTGGGGGCAGTGAGCTGGGGTGGGGAGGGTGTCTCGTGGGGGGACACCATGTGAGCACTGCCCGCCCCATAGAGGTGCATGTGCTGCTGCTGGACGATCTGCTGCTGCTGCTCCAGCGCCAGGACGAGCGGCTGCTGCTCAAGTCCCACAGCCGGACGCTGACAGCCACGCCCGACGGCAAGACCATGCTACGGCCCGTGCTGCGGCTCACCTCCGCCATGACCCGCGAGGTGGCCACCGGTGAGCACAGCCACTGCGTGGCCCAGGACAGAGGGTGTCTCTTTCGGGCAGAGCTGCCTGTGCAGTGGGGAGCAGACCCCTCTAGAGAGCCAGGGAGCTGGCATTCTGGCAGAGAGGCTGAGAAGTGGGTGGAGGTGGGCAGGGCGGGGCCAGGCCTGGCCGGTTTTATAAGTGAGGCGGTAAGTGCTGCAGGTGTTTGCACAGAGGTGTGTCTTGTGCAAACGAGAGGAAAGGCCAGGAGCCCAGGGAGGAGGTATTTGTAAACATAGTGCTGGGGCGTCGTCTCAGGCCAGAAACACTGGAAGTGGCTGGAGGGTGAGAGTGGCTGGGGGGGTTTCATAGGTAGACCAGGGGACTTGGCTGATTCCATAAGGAGGTGTGAGTGGGGAGGCTCAGGAGGAGGACTCATAGGGCCCTGGATATTAGTGGACAGTAAGGGGTGAGTTGAGCCATGGGAGCCCTGAGGGCACAGCCTTTGTGGGTGACTTCTCCAGCCTGTGCTCAGGGAGGGGCATGCACTGGGGGGGACCTGGGCTCTGAGCCCCATCTCCCCCTCTCCTGGCAGATCACAAAGCCTTCTACGTCATTTTTACCTGGGACCAGGAGGCCCAGATCTACGAGCTGGTGGCACAGACTGTGTCAGAGCGGAAGAAGTGAGTGGGGTCTGAGTTCCGAGTATGGGTTGAGAAGGCTCAGGCCTCTGTGTTCCTGGGAACAGGAGGGCTGTGGGGAGTCCCCGGGATAGGGTCTGGGGGCTCTGACTGCCTAGGGATTTGGCCTCTCTCCCCAGCTGGTGTGCCCTCATCACCGAGACCGCTGGATCCCTGAAAGTTCCTGCCCCTGCCTCTCGCCCTAAGCCCCGGCCCAGCCCAAGCAGGTGAGTAGGGTCATGGAAGGAGCTGGAGGTTCAGGGAGGGAGCTGGAAGGTGGGGCTGGCTTCCCTACACAACTTCAGAATGCAAGCCCCAGCCATCTCCGTGTGCGTGTGCACGTGTGCACGTGTGCAAGCACATGACTGTGCGTGCATGTATGGTATGTGTGTATCTGCACGTGTGTGTGCCGACCCCACCACTGCCCTGTCTGTCTCCTGTCTCCAGGCCTCTGTGTCTTCTGTTGTCTGGGCCTCTCTGTCTCCCTGTCTCCCAGCCTCAACTTCCATCTCTGTCTCCGGACCTCCCTGCCTCCCCACCTCCAGCTCTCTGTCTCCCTGCCCCTGCAGCCCCCCGGGGCCAGGGGTGTGGGGTCACCCAGCACTTCCTCCCCTCAGCACCCGAGAACCCCTCCTCAGCAGCTCTGAGAACGGCAATGGTGGCCGAGAGACGTCTCAGGCTGATGGTGAGACCAGAGGGATGCTGCGGGAGGGGCTGGGTTGGGGCTCCCCGGTGGGGAGAGGCATCAGCAGGAGGCCCGGCAGGATCTGAGCTCCCTCCCTGTTCCCCAACCCAGCCCGGACAGAGAGAATCCTCAGTGACCTCCTGCCCTTCTGCAGACCAGGCCCCGAGGGCCAGCTCGCTGCCACGGCCCTTCGGAAAGGTAGTCCAGCCCTGCCCCTCCAGGTGGCCACCAGCCCAAACAGTGCCCCTGTTCCAACTAGAACAAGGCTCTCCCTGTCAAAAATTTCCTTATGCCCAACTGCCAGAAAACAAATGCTCCCAACCCACCTGGCCTGTACTGCTGTCCTGGGTGCCCAAGCCCCTCTTCTGCAGCCGCCATCCCTTCCTTGCCTCTGTATTCAGCCTCTCCCTGAAACCTTCCTGCCCTGTCCCAACCCTAAACCCAGCCTTCACCACCCTAACCTCATCTGCTCAGGCTTGCCTGGCACCCACCCGAACCTCCAGCCCCTACACAACCCCTTCGGCATCCCCCATCCCAGCTCCCAGCCCTGCCCCTGTCTCCTAACTCCGCCCCCTTGTCCCTGGCCAGTGCTGTCCCTGAAGCAGCTTCTGTTTCCCGTGGAGGAAGACAGCGGGGCGGGGCCTCCTCCAGATGGGCATGGGGTCCCAGGGGGCAGCCCCCTGAGCCCAGCACGGACCCAGGAAATCCAGGAGAACCTGCTCAGCTTGGAGGAGACCATGAAGCAGCTGGAGGTAGGGCAGGGCCAGCCAGGGGTGCCCTTAGTGGGCTGGGGAAGAAGGGGGGCCCCCCTCATCCATGACCCCTACCCCAACAGGAGTTGGAGGAGGAATTTTGCCGCCTGCGACCCCTCCTGTCGCAGCTTGGGGGGAACTCTGTCCCCCAGCCCGGCTGCACTTGAGGTCCCTGCCCAGGAAGGTGAGTGGGGATCTGAGGGCCTGGGCATGTTCTGGAAGGAGGCCCCCTCCAGAGCTCACATCCTTACAGCCCCTTCTGTCCATCTTTCTCTTTGTCTTTCCTGAGTCTCCCCACTCTAACAATGTCTCTCATCTGTGTCTGTTTCTGATAATCTCTGCTCCTCTGTCTTTGTGCCTGCCTGCCTCTCCCCACCTCCCTTTCTCTCTCCGCTCTTCCTGTTTCTCTCTCCATCTCTCCCTGTCTCCCTTCTTCTCCTACATCCCCCAGGCCTTTTTCAAGAAGGAAAGGAATTGGGGAGAGGACATGAGGGACCACCCCCACCCACACAGCTGCAGCAGCATCTCACACCCCGAGGGCCTGAGGAGAGGGAGCTTCAGGCCGCCTGGGAGGGGCCCAGCTGGGGTTACTGGGCCCACATGGGCCTTGGCCATCTCTCCCTCCTGCCCTCTGCTTGGGGGACTCAGGGCTTCATTCCAGGGGGCACCGCGGTGACCCGGGCCATCTCAGTATTGCCTGTAGAGGCCACCCCCCACCCCCCACCCCCAAGTGCCTTCGCTCTGTTTTTATATGCTGAATTGGAGGTTTATTTTTTAATATATATTATCTAAGAAGAGATCTGCGTGTGTGAGGGTGGGATGGGTTCTGGCATGGCGTTGGGAGCTCTCTGTGACTGTCTGGCGTCGACTTCCTGGGTCTGTGCCTGTGTGCCTCCCGCCAGTTCATTCATTTTGAACAGTTACTCCCCAGGCACTCCGCGCACACACTGGGTATGAGGCATCTCCCTGACACCGCCCTCCAGCTCCCACCCTGACCCCTCATGCTCAGCACTGAGCACCCCAAGTCTCTCTCTCTCTTCTTTTATTTCTGTAGTAAACTCTCTGGAGGGGACTGTTGGGATTGTGGGGAGCTGGTGGGGAGGGGGCCCCTCCTGGGTGGGGGCTGGGGGCGGGGTTATTGCTCTGAGCTCCCTGTCCCCAGGGGGGCCTGGGCGGGGGGGTTGTCAGGACTAGGGCCAGCACAGGGGGTTGGAGACACGGCCACACAAACACGTGGGGTACAGCACAGGGGTGGGTGGGCAGGGCAGGCTGGGCGCCATATTGCACTTTAGAAGTGGGGCCAGGTGGGGACCCCCCTCAAACTGGAACCTGGGGAGGAGGCTGGAGGCCATCACATTCCCTCTCTCTGTGGAGGGGAACTGAGACCCATATGCTGGGGCCGGGCATCAAGGGCAGACGGTCAGCTGCCCTGGTCCCTGCCTCAGCGGAATCCACCGCCCCCTACCAGCTCAGCTGCCGGTCCCCCCTTTGCCCGCCTTTGCCTTGGGGGGCACTGGGAGGCCCTCATCGCCCTCACTGTCAGAGCTGCAGCCGCTGACGTCGGTGATCTCCAGCTCCGAGTCGCTGTCCTCCTTCCCACCAAGGGCAGCCTCTGAACCCCCAGCCCCTGGCAGTGCCAAGCGGGGGGCCGCTGCCAGGCCTGAGGGGCGCTCAGGGCCCAGGCCCTCCCCTGTTGAGGCCAGCAGGGGCGTGGCTGTGGGGCCTCCCCCTGCCCCTGCTGAGGGCAGGTGGCCCAGGGAACTGGCCAGAGAGTTGGGATAGAAATGCGGGGGGTAGAGAGAGGGAGGCAGCTTGGGGAAGGGGCCCGTAAGGTACGGGTTAAAGTTCCAGGGGTACTCAGGGAAGGCGCGGCCATAAGGACCCAGCAGGCCAGGGGGCTTGGAATAGCCGGTGGCACCTGAGGGGCACAGGGGTAGGTCAGGCTGGGGGGGGGTCTGCCCGCCTGGGGACCAGTAAATGGGGCCGCCTCCCTGTCATATCCCACCCCATCTACCCGAATCCCTCCCACACGGCATCTCACCCCCTCACAGCTTCCCCCAACTCCATCTCCTCCCGGTCCCCGCCTTGTCGTCCCATTCCTTAGGCACTCCTGAAAGCCCTTGTTCCCCCCTCATTTCCCTTCCCTCACCTCACATCCTTTTCTGGCTTTTACACACACACACGCACGCACGCATGCACACACCCTACAGCCTAGCCCTGGGCCCCCTTCCTTCTCTCATCTTTTCTTATCCTTTTCCCTTAAGCCTGCAGCTTCTTCCACCATGCCCCGAGCACCCCAGAACCTCCAGGCTCTTACCAGAGCCCAGGAACGGGAAAGGGCTGTCCAAACGCAGTTTATCCGTCTCGGAGGTGAACAGGGGTGTCCGAGCCCCTGGCTCTCCCAGGCGTGGGGCAGAGAACAGGGTCTGCAGGGTCTAGAGAGAGAACGGGAGAAGCAGCCCTGCTCAGACGGTCCCCTCCCCAGAGTGGGCACCAAGTGCTTTGGTTCCAGGACCCCAGTACCCAGACTCACCTCAGGGGTGAGGGGAGGAGCATCTGGCCCTGGGGCCCCCCCAAAGGGACTGGGGGTCAGCAAGAGTGGGGAGCCGGTGGCAGCTGCCGCCACGTCCAGCAGCGGGTAATTGACAAGCACGACTTTGCTAAAGTTGAACTTGTAGGTGAACCTCTTCCCTTTGGTCTTGTGGAGAATCCGCTTGTTATAGTAGTAACTGTGGGGAGATCAGGTGGTGGTGGGGAGGCCCAGGGGGAGCCCTGGGGCGGGGTCTGGGTTTCTTAATGCGTACAGTCCCAGGCATGGTGCACAGAGCACTAGAACTTACTTGGGGAAACTGAGGCTTGCAGAAGTCCCTTAACCTCACAGGGCAAGGAAGGGATGAGGCAGGAGCAGGGACCCTGCCCTGCGAGACTCCAAAGCCGAGATTTAGGGATTCTTCCTCCCACCTCCCCTCCACTCACAGCCCAGGTTTAGGGGTCCTTCCTTTCACCTCACTCCCACTCACGAGTAGCTATGGTGGTTGCTCATGCACAGCCCAGTGCCTTAGTGGGATCCAGCAGGAAACCCCCAGGATGCGGAGGGGGCACCAGAGGGGCAGTAGGAGGGGGGTAAGGTGGCATCCAGCCCCCAGCCTGTCCTCACCGCAGGGCCCGGCTCAGCTTGTCGTAATTCATGTGGGGCTTGCATTTGCGAATGCCCCACAGCCGGGCCACCTCGTCGGGGTCCTTGATGACGAATTCTCCATAGTCCCCCTGCCAGGCAATAACACCCTGGTACTCCTCCTTCTGCAGCAGCTCCAGGATAAAGTGCCACAGCTGGATCTGCCTCGAGCCAGGGGATGACTCCGGCTTATAGGCCCAATCCGGGAAGGCAAACCCTGGGGACGGGAGGCAGGGAGTGGCCTGGGGTCAGGATGCCAAGTCCAGGGCTCTGGGTGCTGCTGGACTCTAACCTGGGAGGCATCTGGTTCTCCTCCAGCCTCAGGCATCTTTGGGGACCTGGTTTCCACTCTCCAAACCTCTTCCCCTGGTGTCTGGTCCCCAAATCATCCAAATAGGGGCAGAACCCAGTTATTCAGGAACCCTAGGTTGGTACCAGTCTGGTCCCCTACCTTGGCACACCTCCCCCAGGCTCAGCATCAGGGGGTGGAGTTGGGAGGGACCGGCTTCCTGCTCCCATGACAGTGGGGAGGAATGGAAGGGGTGCTCCCTCCACAGCATTAGTCCTCCCGCTGCCCCCAGCCAGCCCCGGAAGGTCTTTGGTCTCTCCCGCACCCTACGGTGCCCGCAGCTCCTGCTGTCCCTGTTCCCCATTCCCCATCCCCCGCTCCACCTTTTGGCATTCCCCAGAGCCCCCCACTGACACACCCTGGCATATCCAGGCTGTGGTTGTGTGCATGTCTGCACCTTTCCTGTCTGTGTCCCCCCCATCCCATATCCATGCCCATGTCCATCCAAGAGCAGTCCAAAACAGGGTGTATGTACATGCGCACATACTCACCGATGCCCACGGAAGACATGTCACACAGACATCAGTTCACACGACACACAGCCACACTGGATCACAGGCACAGCAGAGTGCCACATGTGCTGGGGGCCGCCAAGGCTGGCATGGCAGACAGGCTGCCCAAGACTCAAGGTCACATCATCTCAACAACCCCAGGGTGCACACCCGTCACAGCACACAATTACACATCTCAGGACTGGGACCTAATAACAACTGTGCGACACACACAGGACCACAAAGTCCCAAAGAACACACTGTACAATGGAAGCAGTGAACACACCACAAGATGCCCATGTCCCCAGACACAGCCCAGCAGTCACACACAGGGTGACAGCGTGTCAGCAGAGCAACTTCCCAAACCCACACACGGAGGCACCCACGGGTCAGCCCTGACACCCACGGCTCACTCAGCATGACATCTCGCATATAGAGCAGGGCACTCCACTGTCCATATACCCTCAGGAACTGGGCACCCTGAAATCTCACCCCCCCCATGCAGAAGGCCCCAGGCCATGGATCCAAGTTCTGTAGTCACTCCTATGCTATCTTCTCTGCTCCCTACCCACTCCTCAGAGACCCCAGACCCAGGCATGAAAACAGAAGGCAGAGTGAGTCCATAAAAAGCTGGCGGCAGTACAGGAAGGGAGGGTGGTGTGGGCCAGGGCAGGGGAGACCACCAGTGTCGCTGTGTCCACTTGCTGTGTGATTACTGGCAGGTCCTTGCCCTCTCTGGCTTAGAACTTCAGAGGTGGGAGGCAAGGGGTGCAGGGTCCTGCCCAGCCTGCCAGGTATATAAAAGTGGGTGCTCATGCCTCCCGGCCTGAAAGCTAGGGAGCTCCAGGCATTTTACTCCTTGAGGGAGAATTTTTATCTCAATTCCTTTTTGGGTCTTTCTCACCTCCAGTGACAGGGCTGGATCCAGACTCCAGCTCTGACCCATCCCATACCCAGAACACGTACTGCTGGGGAGGCAGCTGTATCACAGACACACCCGCAGGACCCCAAGGTGACAACGGGACACCCCACCTGGATACACCACCTGTCCTCCAATGCACACCTTCAACGTGTCAAACCTACGAGGCACAGGCACAGCTAGAGAGAGGACCCCCAAACTCAGTAGGCAGACACACACACGTGACAGACAAACCCCCAGAATTCACTCATGCACACATGGACCCTGCGCTGAAAACCAGACACAGCCCCCAACACAGAAGTCCAGGGACGCATCCCCCACACAACCCCAAATGCACCAAGACATCACTGCGAATGCCACACACCATGAGACTGACTGCGAGAAACAGGCAAAGGCTCCTCACCCCATTCCGGCAGAGGCAGGGTCCATGAGCTGGCAGACACCCCCACCCCAAAATGCAAGCACGCCCAGCCCAGAGACACTCAGGTAGCCAAATGCACAAGCTCACACAAAGGCTGCGCAGACACATTCTCCCAGTGTGACCCCTTCTAGAAACACTGAAGTGTGACACAGGGACACACTGAAATGAGACCCCAAATAACCAAGCACAGTCTGTCTCTCACACACGTGCGCACACGCGCGCGCACACACACACACACACACACACACCCCTCCTGCTGCACACCGGCGTGGTGTCTTGAGCTCAAATGCATGTCCAAGCCAGCCTCACTGTCCACCCTGAAGCTCCAACCCTCCACTCTGAGCAAGCTGCTCTCTCTCCCAGGGCTCCGGCTGGCCAGGTTACGCCTGCACATCCCTCTGACCCAGCAGTGCCGTCGGTCCGTCTGTCCATCCATGCCTGGCCTAGTGCCCCTCCAGCCCAGTCCCTGCTTACTCCCCACGCAGGTCCTGCGTGGGAGCAGGCTGAGATACACGTGGCAGGGATGCCCCTCAGTCCTCGCCCCTCAGTCACCTCCGCACCTCACCCACCCTCCAGAAGACCCGCATGTCCCAGCAGGCAGGTGGTCGGGGAATCTGGGTGCGAAGTTTTTAGCCAAGTTTCTCAGGAAGGGGTTTGATTTGGGAGACTCTGACCAAGACCAAGAGAGGAGGACTCACAGACTAGAGTGAGACATGTGGGGACAGAGAGAAGTGGGGTGCGGCTCACTGGGGAGGCCTGACGGCTGGGGAAAGGGGTCGGGGAGGTCCGGGCCAGTTACCGGGGGTCCAGAGAGCCGGCAGGGCGGGCGGGGCGAAGAGAAGGTCGGAGACGCAGCTACAGTCCATGGCGGAGCCGGCCCTGCAGAGGCCGGGAGGGACACACGGGGACAGGGTGAGCAGGAGAGACAGACACAGGTCAGCCAACAGGGTGCTGCCCGGGGCCTCCCCTCTCCCAGGTCCCCACCCCAGCCCTCCGCCCTCCCCCGCAATCCCTCCCGCAGGCTCCGTGTCCCCAGCCAGCCGCTCCGGCGGCCCATTCCTTCCCTCCCAGCCTCTCCTCCCGCAACCTCCTCCTCACTCGATGCCTCCATCACTAACCACGCTGCTCCCAGTCTCCCTCCCCGCTCCCCACCACTCGCTCACGCTCTCACACTCGCGGGCTCTCTTCCCCGCCCGCGCCCCGCACCGTCTCTGCTGCCGTCTCCCATCCCGGTCTCCTGCCTGACCTCCCGGGCCGGTCGGTCCCTGCATCTCTGGGTCTCCCTCTGTCTTTCTCTATCTACCCCAGATTTACCTTGCTCCGAAACTTGCCCCACGCCCGCCCTGCCCGGACGACCCACAGACAGGCGCAGCCCCGACCTGCTGCGGCCCCTGCGGCCCCTGATGGGCTGGAGGGGGCAGGCCTGGCACCCCCTCCTCCAGTCTCCTACCCCACAGGGCAGCCCCCAGTGCCCTGCAGGAGGCCTCCACAGACCCCAGACCTGCTGCTCGCCCTGAAGACCCCTTCCCCTTGCATCTGCCTCCCCTGTCAGTCCCGCTCCCTCAGACACTCCCTCTCCCTAGATACCTTACGCCCCTAAGATACTCCATCCCCTCCTCATTCCAGCTTCCCCTCCACACCCACACCCACGGAATCCGCTCCCTCTCACACCCCACCGCAGACACATGCTACCCTTGCGCTCCCGAGACCCCTCCCGTCAGGCACTTCAGCCCCTCACTGCCACCCTCAGACCCCACCTCTGGAGCACCTTCTTCCTGGAGATGCCCCAGATGCTCTCAACCCACTCTTCTGACACCCCAATACTCCCCACGGCTCCCATGCCCCCCCCAGACGCCCCTCAGACCCTGGCAGCCTGCGCTGTGTTCCCGTCAGCCCCGCCTACTCCCTGGACACTGGACAAGACTTTTCAGATACCCCAAGTTGCCTCAGACTCGCCAGGTCCCCCCCCCAGAGGCCCCAGCCCCAGATGCCCCCCACCTCCCATCTGCCTCCTGGAGCCTCCCCAGTCTCAGGCCCCCTCTGTTCCCACACCTCTCCCCCCTTCTTTCTCCATCTGTCCCGTCTCTTGATCTCTCTCCCTCTCCATCTCTGCCTCTCCCCTTCACTGGGTCTCTTCTCCCTTCCCTGCCTCCCCCCACCATCTCTCTTCCATTTGTGTCTCTCTCCTCCACCTAGGAGTTCTCTCTCCCCACCTCACTGCCCTCTCCCCCTCTCTCCATCTCTCCCTCCACCACTCAAGTCTCTTCTGTGTTTCTCTGTCTCCCACCCCCGCCTCTTTTCTGTCTCTCCCTCTTTCCAGTGTGTCCATCTCTGTCTCCCAATGACTTTCTCCCCATCTCTGCGATCCATCTCCCCCTCCCTTTCCACTGTCTCTGTCTCTCCCTCTCCTTGTACCATCTCTGTCTCTCCCTCTCCTTGTACCATCTCTGTCTCTGTCTGTCCCTCCCCTTGTACCATCTCTGTCTCTCCCTCCCTCTCTCCTGTCCCTGCCCCCACCCTGTCCCATCCAGCGTTTCTCCAGCAGCCCCGCTCCTCCACACCTCTCCCCCACAACATTGCTCTCCCACCTCCCGTTCTCTCTGCCTCTCAGGGTCCCCCTCCTTCCTCCCCCCACCCCCACCCCCTATTGGCCCCTCTCATTTCCGTGTTGGTTTTGATTTCTCTTCCCTACGCTTTCAACTCCCCGCCGCCTCCTCCGGACACGTTATAACGAGGAGCCGTGGGATCGGCGCTCCGGGCCCTGCTCCCACGCTCCCCCCGCCATGTCTCACTCGCGTCTCTTGCCATCTCGTGGTCTCTGTGGCCACTTCTCCCCGTCTCTGTGCCCAGCCTTGGTCCTGTGTCAGGCCCCACAGGGACCTGGACCCCCACCCATGCCCACCACCTCTGCCACCCTGTCCCTCCCATCTCTGAGTCCCCACGTCTGTGTCCCCACGTCTCTGGGTCTCTGCATGGCTCTGTTTTGATGTCTAGGGTCTCCACACCCTTGTCTCTGTCCGCCTCCTCCTCACATCCCTGCCCTGTCCCCATGTCCCCATCTGTGTCTCCTCATCTGTTTCTGTCTCCCTGTCTCCCTGTCTCTGTGTCTCTGTCTCCATGTCTCTAGGTCTCCCTGTCTCTGTGTCTCTGTCTCCATGTCTCCGTCTCCATCTCCCTGTCTCTGTCTCTGTTTCCATCCGGTGTCCGTCTCTTGGGGTCCCTTTGATCTCGCCCTGCCCTTGGCGCCCCCCTGGCCCCATTGATCGCTGATCGACCGATGGAGGGAGTGTGGCCTGTGGGGCCTGGGGCTGCAGGGCCAAGCAGGACCTGGCAGGAAGGCCGGACAGATGGACAAACGGCCCCAGCCCCAGTGGCTGTGGAGGGGGAGCAGCCACAACCCCCACCCCTCCCCGCCGGCCGGCGCGGTGCGGATGGGGACTCCAGGCAAGCTTTAATTTTTAATTTTATTTTGCTTCCTCCACCCCCCTTCGCCCCTCATCCCTACCGCCCGCAGCCATGGCACCGAATGTGTGTGCGCATGTGAGCGAAGCAGTGTGCAGAGGCGCTGGGCAGGCGAGGGCCCTCCTCCCTTCTCTCCCTGCCAAGCACAACCACCCAGACCCACACATCAGCCCAGGCACGCACACCACCACATCCCACACAGCACACCGCACAGACGTACACACCAGCACCCCACCATCCTACACAACACACACCTACAAAGCGACACACACCACCGCTGCCATACACAACCCACTTCACACAGATGCGTGTTGGTAAAGTCCCACACATCACAGACACACACCAACAGTGACACACACCACTACTGCTACACACCCACATCACACAGATGCATGTGTCAGTACAGTCACACACCAACACTGTGACACAGTCACACACACACATATCAGAAAAGTCACAGACGCACAGAAACAGACAATTTTACAGATGACACACACCAATTCAATCTCACACAGAAACAAAGACACGTAATCACAAATCCTAGACATGCTACGCAGACACATAATCACACGCCGAGCCTCGCAATCAAATACAGTGACACACAGACAGCAGCACACAGAAAGACACACAGTCACACAGACAAGCACCACCAACCCTTGAGTGCATACATGTGCACTTTGTCAGGCATGGAGCCATAAAGGTACACACACCAGCACCAACCCAGACAGCCAGTGCACACGGCCACACACACACCCATTCACAGACACAGTCACAATCACACACACACACCAAGATCATCATCCCAAACATAACGACGGACACACAGCGGCCCCTGCAGAGGTACACCCAGACACACTCAAAGCCCAGACGGGGTAGGGGTGGGCACTCAGAGGTGACCCCAACCCAAGCCCCTGCCACTCCTGCTGGCTGCCACCTGTCCCCGTCTGCCTGCCTGTCCCTCATCTGTGGACTTCCCGAGCGTGTGTCTGCATGGGTGCCTGTGTGTGGGTATGTGACACGTGCCCTTATCTCAGACCTGCTTCTGTGGCTGTCTCTCAAGACACAGGTCTCCCAGTCTCTCTCAGCCCCTTCGGGTGTCGGTGTCTCTTTCTGTCTGTCTCTATCACTGAGGGTCTTTGCTGCTCATCTCAGCCTGCCTCTCTCTCTCTGTCTCCATCTCTGAGTGTCTCTGTTTCCCCCATCTCTGTCTCTGGGCATCTCTCTCTGTCTCTGTACCTCTCCATCTCTGGGCTCTCTGTCATCTCTCTCTGCCTCTGTCTCCTAACCCCCCATCACCCCGGCCCCCTGGGCTGGGGTTTAACCAGTTGTTTTGATTTCTCTAAGCTGCACCGGCCGCCTCGGGAGCCGCCTCGGGCCTCGCACCCCCCCACCAGCCCCTTCATCCCTCACCCAGGCCCCCCCATCCCCACCTCCCCTTAACACAATCTGCACAAGTGGAATGAAAATTGATTTTTTTTTTAAATTTCATATCTTCTCCGGGGCTCTGTCTAAAGAGGAGAGAGATGCGGGCGGCCCAAGACCCTTCTCCCACTGCCACCCCCGTGTGTACACACCATGCCCCAATGCGCGTGTACACACACACACACACACACACACACACACACCCAACTGCACCTACCCATGGCCACACATTCAGGCACAATCTGGGGACATATCCCTCCTTATGTCACACGCCCACATAGGACACATCTGTGCACACAGTAGAGACCCACAGTGACACCCACCAGTAGGCACACACACACCACACACATCCCCAGCCAGGGGTCTGCTGCCAGCCCACCCATCTGTCGCCATACAAATGAGCCCCCGACACCCTGCCCCATCTGGCTGCACAAAGCTGGCTCCCTGCAGTCACACACTGTGTGTGCTCACACACCTGTCTGTCCAGATTAGGCGTCCACGGGTACACAGAGCAGGCTCAGGGGCTGGCTCTTGACAGAAGACCCTGTGCCTGTCCTGGTGAGGAGGGGTTCAGGGGTGATGTGGGGTTTTCTGCATGGATGTGCCCCCCTCATCCTGGATGCCACCCCTATTCCCACCCTGCCCACATCAACCAAATGCTCTGGCCTGACCCTGGTTAGGGGTGCCTTTGTGCCTGGGGTGTACACACACCCCACACGTATACATCACATATACACCACACATACCACTTACGCACACCACATACACACCATATATGCACCCCTCCACAAACACACCACACACACACTTAATCACACATGCCACATACATAGTATACACCACATACACACACCATACACACTACACATACCACATACACACATCACGCATGCATCCCACACACTACACATCACACACCCCACACAGACCACACACGCACCACACACTGCATATACACATACACACATCACTACCCCTCACACCACACACACTACATACAATACCCATCAGACACACCACACACACCACATATCCACCACACACACATTCCACATACCCTACCCATTACACACACCATACACACATACCACGTACACACCACACATATACCACACTGCATACACACCACACACACCACATCACTATCCCCCACACCACACACACTACATACACCACCCATCGCAGATATACACACACTGCATATCCATACCACACACACACCACATACATTACCCATTACACACATACACAACACCCACCACACACATTATACACACCCCATACACTAACCATACACCACATGTACAGCACACACCCTACACATACACACACACATCACACTACATACATCATACACACCATACCAGATGCCATACATCACACCACATACACAACACACACTGCATACGCACACATCACACCACATGCCACACACGTAACACATATACCACACTCAGACACATGACACACCACACACATCACCCGCATGCTACACACCACACTCACACAACCACTCACAGCTTACTACTACTCTGAATACCACACAGTGTAATCACCCATGGAGACACACAAAACCAGTCACCCCTAACACACAGACCCACAGAAAACACACAGAAGCACACACAGTGACCTCACATACAGACTTGGGCACAAGTTCACACAAGTTGCAGACACATGTGCTATCCAACAGCTACACATAAGCATGCACCACACAAACATGCAACCACACAAACATACACAATCAGTCATCAGGGCTCTTTAGGGCTGGACACACAGTACCACTCACTCAGTTATTATGAACCAACACTCAAGCTGGCGCATTCAGCCCTGCAAATTACCACGTGTGTGCACATGTGCATACAAACACACACCCATATCTGAATCCAGACTCAGACACAAGCCCATAGGCTCAGAGACACAACTTAACACCAACACAGCACCACACAAACACACAGCTGGTCTCTGACACACAGATTTTGGGGGCTCTTCCTCAGCTGCGTCCCTCACACCCACAGTCACCAGCCCAGCCGCTGGGAGTCCTCTAGGGGTTGCACACGCTCGGTCCTTCCACCGTTTCTCTGGCACTGAGCCTCCTCATCTTGCCCCTCAGAGCTGTCCCAGGTCCTGGGGGCCCTCCCTGCACAACCACACCATGAGAGAACCCCAAACACAGCACAACTCTAGAATTTTGGACAGTCACACCAGACACAGCTGAGTACCACACACGTCACACAGACATGACATGCTCAGATATGACACATGTGGCTCACTCAGCTCCCACACTTAGCCACCTGTGCCCCGGAGCACGCATGTCTACACAGGTCACATTCACATATGCTGTGACGCAAGACACACACACACACACACACACACACACACACACACACACACACACACGCAGGGTCTTCGGCCTCGACGGCACTGCACAGGATGCACAGAGGGACAGAATGGCAGACAGACAGGGCATGGGCTCCCCAGGCTGGGGAAGGTATGTCTGTGTCTGTGACCCCCTCTTGCTTGAGAGGTGGGGAGGCTCCAGGCCAGAGACGGAGAGGCCTGTGGGTGCGGGCAGGTTTGGAGACCCGCACCCTCCTCCCTCTGTCTCTCCCTCTCTGTTTCCTCTGTGTATCTCTCTGCATCTCTCTCTCTCTCTCTCAGTCTCAGTCTCTGCGCAATGTCCCTGGGGCTGCAGACAGCACTCCAAACAGTATCAGTTGGGGGGTGGCGAGGGAGCGTCCCCAGGGAGGTGGGAGCCGCAGTGCCACGCACCCCGCCTACCAAACAGCTCTGGGGGATGGGAGAGGGAGGGCGGAGGCGCTACCGAGCAGGAGGCAGGAGGAGCTCAGGCTGCTCCCGGACCCTCCCCTCAGAGACCCAGAGAGATGGAGAAGCTGGAGACTGGGTGGGGGGCACAGAATTGGGGAGACATGCAGGGAGGGACAGAGACCTCAGGGGTGGAGAGTGATACCATGGAGAATGGAGAGGAAGAGGGAGCAAGACAAGGAGAGAGATGGAGGGGGATAGGTGGGAACGCGAGAGGGGGAGGCCCAGAGACGGAAAGAGATGCACAAAGTCCAGGAACAGTCCCGTAGGAAGGAGCCTGGGAGCCACATGCACACACAGAGAGAAGAGACACAGAGACAGAGACGGGCAGGGGGAGATCCGAGGTGGGGAAACACTGGGGAAACGCGGCAGAAGGAGCGAATCAGAGAGGCCCAGACAAAGTGGATTAGAAAGCTGGAGGTCAAGGGAGAGCGAGGGAGGCCGCACCAGAGGAAGGGGAGGAGGGGGCAGAGATGCGGAAAATTGAGGGATTAGGGCGGAGGCAGGAGAGGGATGCCAGAGAGCGCAGCCCTGGAGGTGGGAACGGAAGGCTCAGGTGTGGGCCCGGTGGCGGGCACATCTAACATGTGGATTTCTCATCCTCTGCCCCAACTCGCCCTTCTTCAGTAATAAGGGGTCAGTGCCCCCTGACCACCCTACCCCTCCTCCTCCTCACCTCTGCCAGGCCCCGCTCCACCCAGACCCCAACTCCATCCTGCTCCCTATCTACCTCCTCCTGGCTCCATCCCCAACTCCTGCCTTAATTCTACAGTGGTCCCCAGCCTCACTCCACACCAGGCCCCACTTCCTAGGCTAGACCTTTGGCCCCACCCCTCTATCAGAGTGACAGACAGTAGAGAAATGACTGTTACTTGGTGATGCTGGAGGGGTGGGGACAGAGAGCTGAAGTGGGGTGTGGTGCACACCAGCACCAGCTACTGAGGGAGCCCAGAGACCCAGAGAGAGCTCTTATAGACGGCAGCCACCAACAGCCAGGGCTCAGGCATCCCCATGGAGCGTGGGGCTTGGCACTAAGAATGTACTGAGGAAATGATCTGAAGTGAAATCCAGATTAAACTGCACTCGGCAGGAATCAGAGAGACCGAGATAGCAGATCAAAGGGGCAGAAAGCAGATCAAGGGACAGAGATGTGGAGGGCAAAGAGACAGGGTCAGAGGGCTGGGGAGACAGGGATGGAGCAGAGAGCTGGAGGGGCAGGAGACACCAGAGCATGCGGGGACAGGGAGTCAGATGACAAGGAAGTGGGGATGGAAATGGGGAGAAGTGGGTGACCCAGGGTCAGAGAAAAGAAGGAACAGACAAATGGGGTCAGAGACCCAGGATGGCAGAGAACTGTGGACCGGAGGCTTGGGGCCGGCCTGAGGGCTGGGGTGAGGGGCGGGGCCTGGGTGGGTTGGGGCTGGAGCTGGGTGCCAGCCGCTGGGGATCCCACTAGGGCCCGGGGTCCAGCCGGGCTGGGTGGGGGTGCTTAGGGCTCTAGGGGCATCAGGCGCGGTGCTAATTCAGCGCCATCGATCAGACGGGATGAGAGCAATAAATTATTGTGACAAGATGCAATCCTGGCCCATGCACTGCTGCCGAGGCGGATCGATCCCTGTCCCCAGCCCCACACCGGGTCCCATGCCCAGGCCTGGGCTGGCGGGGATGCCTCTGCCCTCCTCTCCCTCTATTCTCCCCCCTGTATGCACTCACTCCCACTGACAGCCAGGTGAAGGGAGGGTGAGGGGCAGCCTAGGGAAGAGGCAGGAGGGGGCTGGGGGGACACCCCTTCTGACCCAGGCCTTTTGCTTCCCTCAGCACCCTATCCTCACCACCACCTGTAAGGTAGGAACTGCCATGTTGGATGCCCATTTCACAGATGTGGAAACTGAGGCTCTGACAGGAAAAGTAACTTGGCCAGAGTCCCACAGTGGTGAGGTGAGCCTGGATTTGACTGCAGGTCAGTATGACTTGAAGCCCCCCAATATTTGTACTGTCTGAGGACAGAGCAAGGGCTGGAGACAGAAAAGGAGGGAAGAGACAAAGACGAGACAGACAGAGTCCAGGATGTGGAGAAACTGAGAGTCAGAGAGCTGTAAAGACTCTGTATGGAGAGAGACGCAGACAAAGACAACCAGAGAAACACAGGAAACAAAGACTGGGAGACAGGCGAAGACAAAAAGCAGGGTGGGACAGAGAGGGGTGGAGAGGCCAGAAGCGAAGAGAGACAGATGCAGAGACAGAGACTGAGAATCAGACAGTCAGAGATGGACACGGGCAAGGAGACATGGACAGGTGGTGGCAAAGGTGGAAACGGAGAAAGGAAAGGAAATGAGGGTGGGCAGAAAGGAAAGGCCAGCATGCAGGGAGGGGGGTTTGGGAGGCAGGGGTGTGCTGGGAGGGGCTGTGCTGGGGGGGGGTGAGGGGGGGCGGGGGGGGGGGGGGGGGGGGTGGCGGGGGGGGCGGGGGTGTGCTGGGGGGGAATGTGGTGGGGGGGGCTGTGCTGGCCCTGCACAGCTTGTGGGGGAGGTGGGGGTGAGCCTGTGGGATGACAGCCTTGGCCCCAGGAGTCAATGGAGGGTGAGAAAGTGAGGCTGGAGTACAGGGGAGACGGGGTTGGGAGGTAATGGAGAAGCCAGTGTCACCAAAGTCACTAGATAGACAGATGTATCTGGAGAGAGGAGGTCATCTGAGGGGCAGATGTGGGAGGCAAGGACCCCTGGATGGCTAGGAGGGTAGTCTCTGAAGTCAGACAGCCTTGATTTGACTCAAGTCTCTTAACATCTACTCATGTATGGGACCTTCAAGAAGCTCTCTGGACTCAGTTTCCTTCTCTGTAAAATGGGGACAAGAGGCAAGTACCTGCCTCATGAGGGTCTTATGAGGACAATTGAGACAATGGGTGTGAGGAACTTCCTGTCTGTCACAGAGACAGATGGTGGACTTAGTAATCAGGAGCCGCCGTCACCCTCACCCTCATCATCAGTATATATGGGGAGGGCAGGTGTTTGTGGTGGAACAGGTGGGGCACGTGTTACAAGCAGCTGCTACTCAGAAAACGATACCTGGACAGGTGTTTCTGATGCTCACGGAAGTCAGAGAACCCCGGACTTGCAAGAGGCTGTGCGGTGCAGGGAGCAGGTGTGGGGTAGCTGGGAACAGGCACTACGTGTGTCTAACACTTGCTACACTACAGGTGTTATCATTGCACACAGAGGAAGGTGCTTACCCAGGAGAGAGCTCATCAAAGACACGTGCTAGGAAAGGGGACCAGAGTTTCTGGAGAGAAGCAGGCTGGGGACAGGTGTGAGAGATCTGAAGGTGTGGTGGTGACAGGCTGCAGAGACAGGTAGCCAAGGTGAATGAGGCAGTGAGAGGGACGCCGTGCATTCACGATGTTTGCAGAAGGTGCGAAGGGACTCAGGTCACATGGATGTCTGGGGGGAGTAAAGGAGAGAGGTGGCTGGAGTGTGAGGAAGCGGGTGCATGTCTATGGGACAGGGCCGTGTCCAGGCGAAGGTCCCCCCTAGACCCAGTTGAAGAGATGTGAAGCAAAGAGAGATGAAGTGGGGGTAGGCATGCGCGGTGTGGAAGCCTCGGTACCTGTTTGCTGAAGAAATGACTGAATGTGTTTCCAGGGCAGAGGATTCCCGGGATAAGCAGGTGAGGAATGGCAGGTGTCACCTTGTGTAGCAAAAATCAGAGAGGGAAGCATGGGGAATTAGGTGTGTGGGGAAAGAAGAGACATGGATAGGCAGTACTGGAGGGGCAGGCGTGGGAAAACAGGTGTGCAGGCGAGGCACATACCTGCGGCCAAGGACAGATTCCCTGCCCCAAACATGTGTATAGGTAAAGCGGTGTTGTGTAGAGTGAGAGGGAGAGAGTCCAAGAGAGGCAGAGACATCGAGAGAAGGAGTGAGACACAGGTGAGCAGGCAGTGGGCAGGTGGGACAGGGAAGCTCAGAGACAAGGGCTTAGAGGAAGGCTCTGAGGAGGGTACCAGTGTGCGGCCTGGTGATCAGGGGGTGCTTGGGGTTAGGACGAAGGTGGGGAAGGTGCTTCTGTTGTCTGCCATGAGTAACCCAAAATGACAAGTAGGAAAGACAGATATGGGGGGACTGCTGGAAGTCAGGGAGGGAATCAGGTACAGGAAGAGAGGGGTGTGGGCGGCAGGCGTGCTCTTAGGTGACCTGTGTGTGGCCAGCTCTTCTGGAAGGGCAGGTGTGGGGTGGATGAGGAGGTGCAGCAGTGTCACCAAGAAGGATGGGGGAAGGCCAGGAGGCTGGGGACTGGCGGGGGCGGGTCTTACCTGAAGACACGGGTCAGCAGGTTGCAGGTGTGAGTGCTTGTGTGCAAAGGAAGCAGCGTGAGTGTGAGCACGTGCAGTGAATCAGTACTGCCTGAGAGGAGGAAGAGGCGAAGCAATGTGAATGTATGAAAAACAGGTGAGTTTAGAGCTTTAGGGGACAGGTGGGATGGTTCATACACAGATAGGAAGAGGCCAGTGTGGCATGAAATGAGATCAGTGGCAGGCATTCCAGTGGGAAGGGCAGATTTTAGAGAACGGTGTTACCTGGAGGGGCAGGTAAGAGGGGACATATGTCCCCCGAGAGATCAGACATCTTAAGGGCAAGTTTGAGCAGGACAAGTGTTACCTGGAGGGGCAGGTAAGAGGAAATAGGTGTTACCTCCAGGACAATAGAAGGGAACAGGTATGGAAGACAGGTGGTGAGTGCAGGCAGGTATAAGGAGATAGATGGTACCTGGAAGTCCAGATGTGGGGAGCTGAAGGGGGAACACGGATGTGACAGGTGTTTTGATAGACAGGTGTGAGTGAAAGGTTAGTTACCTGAGGCCACAGGTGCGTGCAGTGTGACTCTGCCAAATGGTCTGCCGCCTCGGGGGGTTTCGCTCGCTCCCCTCCCTGGGGAGCCAGTTCTGGCTCTTGGGTCCCTCCCATGGCTCTGGCCCTCCACGGGGCACACAGTTAGCTCTGGGCTGGGCGAGGCCCGGCCTGCCAGGCAGCCAGGGCTCCTGAGGCTGCTTGGCGATGCGGAGCGCGTCTGGGCCTCGGCGGGTCCAGCCGGGCGGGGGGAGCGGGCGGGGGGGGGGCCGTTTAGCCGTGATAGATCCGCGCGCCGCTTGTCTCTTAATCTCCGGAGCGACCGATCGATTCGCTATTTCCCTTTGTTGCCAGAAAATTCGATCCTGGGCCTGGAATTAGGTCCCCGGCTTAATCTGAGCGGAAACCAGCGAGGGGGAGACAGAGACAGAGATGCTGGGAGAGACAGAGATGGAGAGATAGTAAGAGACAGAGAGAGGCAGAGAGAGACACACAGGGAGAGAGAAGCACAGAGATTTGGTGAGAGATAGTCTAAGAGTTGGACCCAAAGGGGAAGAGAAAGATGCTTCGAGAGACAGAGATAGACAGATTGGGAGAGTTAGAGGTGGACACAGAGATGCTGTGAGAGACAGAGACAGCGAGAAGAGACCCAGCCAGGGGAGACATAGCAGAAGTGGCCCAGCAGGGCCCTGCCACAGTGGTGGAATGACAGACAGAAGGGGGGTCCCAGAGGGCTCCTGGCCCCACAGAGGTCAGGGCCAGGCCTGTACTCCCTGCCTCAAAGTGTGCAGACCCCAAATGTCCTTCCCACAGACCCTGTGACCTCCCTCAATCCAAACATCCAGACCCCAGATATCCAGATCCAAATTAGCAGACCCTCAGCCTTGAACTCCAACTCCAAATCCAGATTTCTGCCTCCCCGCCCCAAGTCCAAACTCCTATGTGACTCCGGTCCCAGAGAGCCACATCTCTCAGTCCTGACTCCCAGCCCCAGTCAGCTCCCAACCTCAGATACCTAGATCTTCCGCCCCAAGTATCCAGTTTCTTGGCTCTGAGCCCCTAGGTCCCAAATATTCAAGCCCTCAGCCCTGACCTCTAAACCCCACTCAGAATCTAGCCCCAATATCCAGACTCCTCAGTCCCAAACATTCAAACCCATCTACAGGTCGGCCACCAACCCCCTTTCCCAAATTTTCAGTCCAGTCTCTCGCAGACCCCGTCTCCGAGGCTCTCGCTCGCTCTCCCTCGCCGCCCCCAAATGTCGCACCTCTGTCCCGAGGCCGCACCCCTAGCGCTACCCGCCTCCCACCTTCCCAGAGTTGGGCGCAGCCCCACCTGCCCCCCACTGCCAGGGCGGAAGACCCCATTCGCCAGCACCTCCTCGGGCTCGGAGGGCCCCGCTCCGCAGGTCTCCCAGGACCACCAACGCGCCCGCGCCCGCCCCCGCCTCGGGCGGGAATCCCCGCCCCCTCCCCTCCCCGCCCGTGCGCCGGCCCGCGGCGCTCACTCACTTTCTGGGCTTTGCTCATCTGCTCCGGTCCGGGGAGAAGTGCTTAAAGTTCGGATCCCGCAGCCATGGCCCCCGCGGCGTCCTGGGGAGGGGGCACCAGGGCGAGGGGCGGGGTGGGGGGATATCCGGAGCCCCGGGGAGGCAGAGACCCAGAGGACGCGGAGAGGGAGTCTCTGAGACGCCGGGGCGCGAGAGACTCAGAGACAGAGAGACAGCCAAGGACAGAGAGACTGGGGGACAAGCAGAGACAGGGAGGTGCAGAGAGGGAGAGAGACAGCGAGAAAGACGCGCAAAGAGCGGAGACGCAGAGAGCTGGGGCCGGAGCTCCGGGCGGGAGCGCAGCGCGGCGAGCGCGGCTGGGCGCGCGCCGGGGACCGCCGGGACGGCTGGGGGCGTGGGGCGGCCCTGCCTTCTGCGCCTCCTCCTCTTCCTCCTCTTCCTCCTCCTCCTCCCTCCGCTCCTCCTCCGCGCGCCGCGCGCCTCCCGCCCTCGCGGCCGCCCGGCCGGGCTCGGCGCGCAGATATATGGAGGCGGCGGCGGCGGCGCGGGGGAGGGGGCGGGGGCGCGATCGATGGAATATAATTTTCCTCAAACTCGGAAAATAAAGTTCAGAGCTGATCAAATTTGAAAACAGATGTCGAATCGCGACTCTAAATAAGGTTCGATCCCGGGACTGAGGGAGTGGGGGTAGGGCGGGGGTGGGTGGAGAGACCCCCCCCCATCCCTTCCTCTCCGCCCCGCTCCTCCCCAGGAGGACGCGCGGACAAACGGACAGGCGCGAGGTGGAGGTGGGGACGACGTGGCCAGGACCCCTGCTGGACACGCAGACCTGGACCCGGACTGGAACACGGACCTGCACACACGCAGCCTGGCTAGGAGACACACGGACAGAGGGACACAGGGATACAGTAAGGCAGACACTGCACTCAGGGACACACAGCCCTACAGAGACACAGACTCAGACGCCCATACACAGATGCGCCATCTGTACACGAAGCACACACCTGCGTACCTTAATTCAGGAAGTGGAAACACACAACCCGTACACGGACACATTCAGGCACACACAGAAAAACATACACACAAACAGCCTCCACACCACACCTTCCCCAACCCACAGCCTCTCCCGATCCACCGACCCACAGACTGGACACACAGATACACAAGGATACACAGGGACACACACAGCCACACTCCACCCCCAACACACAGCCTGGACACACAAGCCCTCACTGACACGTGGATAGTCAGACACAGAACCCAGGGCTGGCTAACTGACACTCCCCTTCACACGCCCACAAGGTCACAGGTGCACACTCACACACCTGCAGTGACAGGGAAGGGCCCCACCCAGCCAGATCTGTTCCCATTGAAGTAACTAGTCAATATCGACCAGCCTCAGGGCGGGTCAGATCCACAGTTCAGCCCTTCACAGGACCTCCTGGCCCAACCTGACCCTTACCCTCATTGTCCACCCTCCTGTCCCCTCCCTTGCCCCTTACCCTACCCTCTCTCCGCTTCCACTTTCCTCCCCCACTTTTCTCTCCCATTCACAGGTCAGGCTGTACCCTGCCAAGCCCCACACCACCTTCTCTGGGGAAAGGCAGCTCTCACCCAGGCGCCCCTGGATTCTCCTGTCCCCGGAGGGGAAAGTAGATCTCAGGGCAAGACCACAGTCCCCAGGTGGATATACAGTGGCCAGGAGAGGGGTTGGTGTGGGATCTCACCAACCCCACCAGCGCCCAGAACTGAGACCGAAGTGCTGAGAGCCTAGATGAGAACTTCAGCCCTGCCTGACAGGGTTCAGCCTCACCACCTCTCACCACTCAGGCAAGTCGCTAAACATCCCCGAGCCTCAGTTTCCCCATCTGCAAAATGGGATAATAATGGCCTCCCTCCTAGAGTGGCTGGGAGGGTTAAACCGCAGGGTGCATGGAGCACAGCTGGTACCCAGTACCGAAGTACCAAATATACACACGTTTGCTGTGAGCTTGCTGCTTCCAAGTAATCCCGTTAAAAATATTCAGAATTTTGCCAGAAAACGAGAATTCCTTCACTTGTCTAGACCTTTTCTGCAGTTAGACTGTAGGGAACATTCTTTCAAGGAGCCTGCAGGCTTCACTGGGTGACATTTATGACCCTGTCCCCCAGAGCCAGGTCCTCTGGGTGTCCATAACAGCCCAGAAGTGTCCACCGCCTACTTGGTCCACTCACCAGCTAGACAGTGTTTGTCCCTAGGTTTCTGTGTGTGCCTGAATGTCTCCGTGTGTGGGCTGTGTGTTCCCACTTCTTGTATTACGGTGCGCATGTTTGTGCCCCATGTGTAGATGGCAGGTGTCTGTGTGTCTGTGTCTGTCTCTGAATCTGTCTGTAACACCCAGCATGCTATAGAAAACCCCTCTACCTGCCCAGTACCTGGCCCTCAATGCCAAGGAGAAGGTTCCGGAATACGCTCTGTGGGGCAGGACTCCTCCCACACAGGACACTCTTTGGGAAAAAGATGACACCCTCTGGGTAGATGTGACTTGTTGGCTACAGCCTTCAAGAGAGCTAGGACACCATCAAGGCTTTGAGTACACGCACTGGAATGCATCTCATGACCATTAAATCCCAGAGAAGAGGGACAGAACACCTTCTAAGCAGAAAGAGCTCAATTGACTGTAGATAACACCCTTCAGTAAGATAGAACACTCTCCAGAGAGATACAGTTTATTACGCCATCCACGACACCCTACTGGAAAATAGAACCTCTTTGGAATGTGAGTGACACCCTAAAGATAGCAAAGACCATCAGTCAAGAGGACTTTAAGACTTTACCTCTCAGCCACGCCCCTCTGGGAGACTGGAAAATGTCCCCAGGAGTCTGAAACACCCAGACTGTAATGTAACACCTTTGAGGGGCTTGCAGTGGCCAATCAGAGGGTGGGGAGGACTTCCAAGGAGAGCTCTCTGATGCTCTGGGGGTGGGGCGGCCAGGACCCACTGCCCTGTGCATCACACCCATGGGAACGGGGACTGCACCCATCTGACTGTTCAGAACACCCTCAGTGCCCCCCACTCCCAGAAGACACCATCTTGATTTCTGGAACACTTTGGGGCTGTGCATTTTGGAGTGATTTATGCTGCCTCTCTGAGCCCTAAGCGTTCAGGATGATTCCTGAGGAGACATCGGTGTGCGCAGTGCCGCGTAAGGCACATAGTAGGTGCTCAGTGAAACAGCCCTCACTGTGCAGCATTCCCGCGGCCGGCAGGGGCACACGCTGCCTCGTTAGCAGTGTTGCCAACGCTGCCTACTTGGCTGAAGGAAGCGTCTCACAGGAGGGGGATCATTAAGCTGTACTTAACATCCCCAGGGAGGCTGCAGCAGCAGAAGACTGTAGTTAATACCCCACTGAGAGAGGACGCCCTCAGGGTGTTTAATGCCCCCTAGGAGAGAGGGAGACTGAGAGACAGGGAAAGGAAAATACCCTCACCAGCCTGTAACACCCAGTAGACTGAATTTATTACCCATGAAGGAGAAAGAAGACCTCTGGGGTCTGTAATATCTGCTAGACTCTTGAAACACCCAAGAGCAAGAGGACCCCTCCGTGAGGGCTGTCGGCTCTCTCGAGATTGCTTTTAGCAAAGATGCCTCCTGGTGCAGCTGAAAGCACTAAAGGTGACAGGCTGAAACCAGGAGCCCCCCCATCCCAAGATTCCACCTCCCTAACCCCCTCCCCACAACTGCAGCCCTCCCGGAACCACAAGAGAAAAGGGGAGGTGGGGGAGACTTGGGTGGGGAAGGTTGAATGGGGCCCAGTCCCAGCATGACAATAGGTACGACAATGATGCTTTAATGGTATTTGCCTGGTGCCGGTCACTGGCCTAAACTCTATACACAGATTAACTCAAGCAGTTCTCACCGCACAACTCTAAGAGGTAAGTGCTGTTCTAAGCGTCAACCCCACTTTACTGATGAGGAAACTGAGGCACAGAATCACTTGCCGACTGTCACGGCTAGTTATTGTTGGAAGGGGACGTGGAGCCAGGTAGCCTGGCCACCGGATGTGTGTTCTTAACCACCAGGCTGCCCTGCCGCCTCCCCCCACCACAGATTAGACTAGAAGCTTGCACAGACAAGCTCCTTGTCTACCCGGCTCTGCGTCCTCCCAGACCAGGGCCCACCCTACCACTGTGTCCTCCGCTCAATATGATCACGCACCGCCCCCGATCCCCAGGGCTCGAGGCTCCCTGTGGGCAGGGCCTGTGCCTGATTCCTCTCTGGGTTCCCGCTGAGGGCAAAGCCTGGCCCAGGAAGGAGGGAGGGAGGGAGGCTAGGAGAGGATGTTAAAGAGAGCAGGGAGGGAGGTGGGGAGAAGGGCGGGGAGTCCCGGGAGAGCTGGGGCTGGAACTGGGCCAAGCCACAAGCTGTGGATGTTGGGGAGAGCAGAGGGAATGAATGGGGGAGTCCGGTCAGCTGGGAGAGGGGTGCAAACAGATAGCATAGCCACTGCTCCCCCACCCCATCCCCTATACTGGGTGGGAGAGGATGGACCGAGAGGGGCCTGGGAGGTGGAAGGATGAAGGCCTGGGCGAACAAGGTGCAGGGAGGGCAGACGGACACACAGGACAGAGGGGCGTCCGGGGAGCAGGGGGAGGCAGCCAGCCAGGGCCTGTGCCTGGGGGCGGGTATTCAGACCGACAGAGGGAAAGGATGAGCGAGGGCGTTGGAAGACGGGACAGATGTGGAGGCTGGAAAAGGACAGACAGACAGACAGACTTAGGGCTTGGGGCTGGGGCAGGAGGGACAGCCAGCCAGCAGGCAAGAGTGGCCAGGAGGGAGGGGAGGACGGACAGAGGGCATCTGCAGAATTGGTGGGCAGATGGACGGAGGGATGGCTGTGCAGTGCGGCCGGCGGGGCCAGGGCCAGGCCGAGGGCGCACGGTGGCAGCCGGCTCGGGGAGGCGGAGGCTGAGCGAGCGGTGGTGTTTGTGGAGCTGTCGGCTGCGGTGGAATTATGAAAAATAGCAGGCATCGGAGCCGGCCTTCAGCTTCGATTAGGGGAGATGGGACATGACAGGTGCGATCAATACGCAGCCGTTCTATAAAGTGTCAAGTAATGAATCAATTTCGACTAAATTTTCCATTTTTCAGAGGCCGTTCTCCGAGAGAAGAATATCCTCTTTTGTAAAGATATTATTATCGATTTCGGCGGCAATTTGACATCAGGGGTAGTTAATTCCACTCAGAATAAAATTGAAAACACTTGAGAGAGAAAAGAGAGAGGCGAAGAGTGAGACAGAGAGGGAGAGAGGGGGAGGGAGGGAGGGGCTGGGAGAGAGAGATGGATGGACAGAGAGACAGAGACAGAGACGAACAGACAGAGATCGGAGAGAGAAGAGAGACACAGAGACACAGAGAGAAACTTGGAGACTGCAAAGCCTTGAGTTACAGAGAGAGACAGGGGCTGACAGAGATATTCAGAGAGACTCATAACAGACAGAGACACCCTAAGAAAGGGCGCCAGAGAGACAAACAGAGTAGCTCAGAGAGAAAACCCCAGATGTTACTAACTGGCTATGGAGGACCAAGGAAATGGACAAAGACAATTCCGAGAAAAAGACAGTTGGAGGAGGGGGCAGAACTGATGACA